ACATAGGTTTATGTAAACAAAATGTTTTGGCAGATGCAACTACTGTATGCTTCATACTATGTTTATTTTTGTAACATTACATCTGTAAGAAATAAATATTCGTTCAGCTTTCCTCCAGTCGCTTAGTATTGTATTTACGCGCATAATGAACATTCTTTTTTTCCCGAAACATTGACACATATTGGGGTTCATTACGCGGGGTAAAATTTCTGCATTTATACACTTTGCGCGAATGTCATCATAGGTGCCATTATGACATGGCAGCGCGCACCTGCAACTGATTATGGGAGCGCCACAGTCCCCATGCTCTATAATAGAGCACTGCACGGACCCGGGCCAGCCCGAAAACCCAAGCCTGGCCCGGCCCTGCCCACAGGCCGGGCTCGGGCCGGGTAGCACGCATTTTCTCGGGCCCAGGCCGGGCTCGGGCTTGAACCAAATATTTTTCAGGCCATGCTGGAGCTGGCCCGAGCCAGGCCGTCGCTCCGCAGTCGTGTGCCGAAAATCTTAAATTGGTAATTAACAAAAAGTGTGCTCATTAATCTTTTAGGTTAAAAAAAACAACACTATGGCACCATTCCAGGAAAAAAAAAAAAAGACGTCTTGCTTTTGGAAAGCTATCACGTGGATAAAAGGAAACGTATGGATTCCACCAGCATAGTGGGAAAGTGAGGTAAAAAAAACCAGGGCACTCCAGTCGCAGGGTACAACATGAGCCTTTGTCCTCTGCCTTTCAAACTAAAAAAAAAAAAGAAGAAGAAACACGAGCTTGACTTTGCATTTTGTGCAGGGGGCCTTACTATGCCACCAAAGATAAGCTAACTACCATAAATAATTTCAAGCTAATACAGCCTTTTGAATATGCACTAGCGTGATTCTGATTGTTTCTTCACAACATGTAGAGAGGAAAGTTTTCTGTGAAACAAATTGTACAACGAAAAGTCCAATATTTCTTCAAGAAATGCATACAGTAAATAAAATACTGTCCTTCTTTTCTTAAAATCACTTTTGAAGAGCATGTTTCGCCCATATTCTCGAAAATGCATCGTTTAAGTCGCGATACTTATATTGTGTCAAAAAAACTCTGTCCGAGTTTAAAAGAAATCTAAACCAAATATGCTCACCTTATGCTTAGACAGTTTTTAGGTTAAAGCCTGCAAACATTTTCGGGCTCATGTATATAATATGTCGGGGCTTGGGACGGGCTCAGGTTTATATTTAAAAACATTTTATCGGGCTCGGGCCGGGCTCAAGCTTCTCTCTAAAAATTCTGCCGGGCCCGGGCAGCTCTTCTGAGCCGGGTTGGGCCGGGCCTAGAAATAAAATTTTCTATCAGGCTCAGGCGGGGCCAAGGCCGTGCCTTCACCGGGCCAGGTCAGGCCTAGAAATGAAATCTTCTGTCAGGCTCGGGCCTAGCCTGGGCCAGGCCTCTAACGGGCCGGGTCGGGCCAGGCCTAGAAATTCCGACCTGTACAGTGCTCTACTCTATAAACTGCAAACCTTTTTTAGGGCTTTTGCCGAAGGAAGAGCGACCTGCGAAGCTCACTCAGCATGAAGAGCGACGCGACCGGTCTTAGGCCTAACCACTTTCACGATTCCACTGTCCGAAAACGGACCACAGACGACGACGTGATCATTGGCATCAATGCATCCAATGGGCGAAGCATGTCCAGGGCTGGGCTATTCCTCGACCCAAGCTTCGTTAGGTGTGCGCCACTCAACTTCACGGTTGATCACTTCCACAACTACGCACTTGCAGCCGTTACGAGAGCGGCTTGGCTTGGCTTGGCCTGGCCGCTTGGTAGCTAGCTTGATTGGACGCAGTTCGAGACTTGCGGAGTCAATATTGGAAATCCGTTCATTAGGCGAGGGGGAAAAAAAAAGCCAAAATCTTCATGCTCGTTGTGGGGGGTGCGTTCATTATGCGAGTAAATACTGTACTGATTTCCCAACAACCAAGCATGTTCCCACAAAAATGGGAAATGAGGCTTCGTTAGACCAAAGGGGGGACGGCAGAAATGAACCCCTAAAACGGGACTGTCTCGGTCAAAACGGGACGTCTGATCATCTTACCTTTAAAGGGGCACTGACACATCAAAATCATATTTTGTTTATTAACCGAAATGATTGAAAACAATGCCGGGACATTACCCTCAAAATTCGAAACTTGGGAATTCAGTATTTGTGAAATAAAAAAACAATTTCCAAATGCCAAATTCGAAGTTCCCGCGCGATTCACGCCGGTGCGTTGATGTCAAATATTGCAGAGACCTGCGAGTCTACTTTTTTTCATGACTTTGTACTGTTGCCGCCGCGACCTGAAGCGAGGTGGTGATGGACGGGAGATAAGGGCGCCGGCTGACGGGAAATAACCGGTTTTATTCCGTGCGAGTGGCGCCACCTGCCCAGGCGGCATGTTTTCCATGGGAGGATACAAATCCAGGAGGCGACATCAGACCGGACTCCAATTTTTGGTGTTTCAAAAAGAGGGGCCGTAGTGCGTTTGCAATTGCATTAAAAAACATGTTTTACAATTGCCGTTACTAAATTTTATAGAAATATTGCCTACAAAGCTTCTAAATTTCATGATTTTTGACGTCACAAATCAAAAGAAGCGAGGAGGTGAGGGACGGGAGATAAGGGCGCCGGCAGACGGGAAATAACCAGTTTTATTCCGTGCGAGTGGTGCCACCTGCCCAGGCGGCATGTTTTCCGTGGGAGGATACAAATCCAGGAGGCGACATCACACCAGACTCCAATTTTTGGTGTTTCAAAAAGAGGGGCCGTAGTGCGTTCGCAATTGCATTAAAAAACATGTTTTACAATTGCCGTCACTAAATTTTATAGAAATGTCGCCTACAAAGCTTCTAAATTTCATGATTTTTGACGTCACAAATCAAAAGAAGCGAGGAGGTGAGGGACGGGAGATAAGGGCGCCGGCAGACGGGAAATAACCGGTTTTATTCCGGGCGAGTGGTGCCACCTGCCCAGGCGGCATGTTTTCCGTGGGAGGATACAAATCCAGGAGGCGACATCACACCGGACTCCAATTTTTGGTGTTTCAAAAAGAGGGGCCGTAGTGCGTTCGCAATTGCATTAAAAAACATGTTTTACAATTGCCGTTATTAAATTTTATAGAAATGTCGCCTACAAAGCTTCTAAATTTCGTGATTTTTGACGTCACAAATCAAAAGAAGCGAGGAGGTGAGGAGCGGGAGAGAAAAACAACAAAAATAAAAAGGCACGCACGTGCGTAAGAATATTTTCTTTCGCTATGCGGTATTTTTTTGCGTGTCTATGACTACAACTTGCATCGTTTTAGACCAGCAGCGTAGACTTTCCATTTTCCTGGGGGGGGGGGGGGCAGGCTGAGAAGTTCTCCGGGGTGGGGGGGGGGGGGTGCTTTTCTGCACAATTTTTTTACACCAGCAATTATAAGTAGTTTATTTTAGAGGGGGTACATTTTACAGCGTATGTATATCTCCCTGTGTCCGTCGCTGTGTGCGTTATTTTGTTTACATGCCACTACTAGAAGCTCGTTACATGGCATGTAAACAGCGTCTCGGTAAAGATCATGGCCCGGGGGGGGGGGGGGGGGGCTCCACCCCCTGGATTTCACAAGGGGGAGGGGGCACGAGCCCCGATGCCCCCCCTCCCCCACCGTTAGTCTACGCCTATGTTTTAGACAAAAAAAAATATTACCCCTGGGGTGTCAGTGCCCCTTTAAGCGATGTGAGAACAGGGGATATGTCAACAAAAATGCTCTCTCAGAATGCAGGAAAGCCAACAAATAAGCCGATGCTAAGCCGTTAAATTTTTTCTGCCTCCGTTATACCCTAAAAAACACACGTAAAAAAAATAATAATAATTTTTAGTTTTTTCTTGTGTTTGTGTTTAGCAAAACGAGTATAAATCAATACTCGTTTTCACCACAAGAACCGTAGTAAGAAAAGTATGGCTTCTCGCAGAGCATTACTAATTTTCCTCTTTATGCCGAAAATTGAGATATATGTAGGTGCATTTTAGATTAGATACACATTATCTTATCAAGACATACGCGTTTCAAATGCCAAAAGCATTGCTTCTGCCTCCGGCAACTAAATCTTGTAAGAACTACTTTGTGCGGCGTATGAACATTGAGCAAAATTTCCTTTTTGCTTGAGGTGAAAACGGGTATAATGATAAGGTAAATTATTGGAAATTCAAATTCGAGAAGTTTGGAAACTTCCGAACTTCTCGGTGTAACTCCCGACATTTAGAACGCCAGTCAGGCTGCAAAATCAGCACGCCTCACACATCTCCTACCCTCACTATTTGTGATTCCAGCGACCTAAAGGGGTCATGCTGGTCAAACAAAATGGCAGACAAAAGGAGATCTGCACTGCAAAAGCAATTGTGCTGGGAGTCTTTTTAGAAAGGAAGTTAGCCGGCCCTGGTGGGTGCTCGGTATATCCACTGTAGATGAGAAATTTAGCCGGTGCAATACAACCGCATGCCAGTACGACGCTTGTACAAATCAAAACTGGCAAAGGCTGAGATGTACTCCATGCTACAGTGCCCTAACACGATCAGCCACCGATCTCCCTCATATCAGCATCATGGTTTCCAAAGTAATGCTCGCAAAGCATAAGCCAATATTTTTTCTGTTCAGTTCGGTTTTTCAAAAATTACATGCTCCTTTTGGAAATAGGACGCCAATGTTTCTCGAGGACCTGTTTTCCCTTTCAAGCGTGCCAACCTCGGCCCTCATTTCTTCGAGACCCCTTTGTTAAAGTTATTGGACTCGCTTTTGCCTCTTTCAGCACTTTCCTCACTTCTCTCTCGATAATGGAATGGAAGCCTCGGCACCCTTGTTTCACCCTTCACAAAGTTTAGCGAAATCTGCCATCATTGAACGCGCAACTATACAAACAAGAAATGAGGAAGTGTCAAGTGACGGCAGCATCAGTGCAATTAGATGGAAAGTTATAAATGTCGCAAAAAAGATTTGCTTTTCCAACCTGTAAGAAGGAGCAGGCTGGCGAGTCTTGCGAACACCCTGCTGCTGTCGCTGCAGGAGAGATGGTCGCCGCTTGAGAGGTCCTTCTCAGTTTGCGACGATACTGGCACTGACGGTTCTTGTTCAATGGCAGGCTGGTCTTGTTGTAGCATAGTGTCTTGATGTGACACATGATCTTGATGTGCCACAGGGTCTTGATGTGACGCAGGTCCTTGATGTGGCACAGGACCTCGATGTGGCACAGGGCCTTGATGTGGCACAGGAGATGATGCCGTGCCAGGAACAGGATTGTTGACGCATCTGTGAACAAAAGTAGGGTGATGAGTTTTCCAAACCCTTCGTTGACACCGCAACCTTCTTTGGCAGTGGCAACAGCGATGCGATGGCTGATGACCCTCGCATTGAGAAACACTAAGCCTTTCTTGATGCGATGGTAATAGACCCTTTCCGGATTTCAGTCTGGCAACTTTGATAACTATCGTCATCTGAAAAATGGCATATGTGCTATACTAATGGCGGCCTCCTGTTTAGTGATGAAGGAAGTTGAAGATACTCCTAAGCAGAGGACTCGATGCCTATACATTTTAGACAATAGCGCGACGTGAAGCAGGAATTGGATGCAAGAGCTGCGTAAGCGTTCATTTCGGGTCCATATCACAAGAGCGAATGACATTTTAGCGAACGGCGACATTTGAGCGAATGGTCGTTTTAGCGAATAACGGGGGCGAGCGTTAACCCATCCGTCGCGCTGCGCTTTACGCCGCTTCGCGGCGACAGTCTTCGGCAACTCATTACAAAAATGTGAACCCATTTGGCCCACCCGAAAACGCCGCTTCGCGGCGTCCGACTATTCGCTAAAGTGTCGTTCGATGAAACGTGGGCGTTCGCTAAAACGTCATTCGATCAAGCGAGTGCCTCCCGTTCATTTCTGACTCGGGCCCTGTCCATTTCTTAGTAGCACACACTCGGCTTCAAACCCCCTTGATGCATAAAATTTTGTGAAGCTGGGCTGGCGCTTCGTTCTTACTGTTTGCATCTTTTCGCCATTGACACTGAAAGAGATTGGAAAAGAACTTTTTAGAGTGAAGCGCACATTCTCGTTTACCGTTGACTTGCGAAAGTGACGGTGCCCCATAATATACTGCAGACCACAGGTTCATTGCCGCCATTAGTACGGTAAAAGTTAAACTGCCATTTGAGTCACCAGATGGCACTGAATTCCGGAAAAGGTCTATCAGTCAATTCAAAGGGTTTTCCCGTTTGCCTCCCCCATGCTAGCCAAATGTTTTGCTGCCACGAGCGACCAAAAAAACTCCGAAGTCGTTCGTGGACACACAATGGACCCTCTTGAAAAGGGCATGGCATTAGTAGCTGCTGCGGCAATCATCCGAGTATGCCATCATTTAGGAACATACTGTGACTGCGTGTTGGACACGAGAGCTGCGTCAGTGTCGGGCGAGAACTCCCTGCTCAGCTCGTACCGAAAATAAGTACTGCGTCAGCATTTGACGAGGACTCAAATTCAATCGCACACTTCGTGCCAATCTTACTCAATGAGGTTTTGAGAAGGCATAAAAAAAAAGTGACATAAACATGCTGAAAAGTTTTCAAGACAGGCTATTTGGGAAACAACACAAGCACATGGACAACACGAACGGGCCCAAGACATGACACACAATTGCATTTTTATGCACGAGCAATATCTTTACGCGTTTGTGCAAAGAGCAGTTTACCCGGCATGCAGATGGTCGCGCTGCATACACTAGGACACCGACGTTCGAGTTACTCGAAAGGTTAAAAATTGACGACGTCACTCAAATGCAAGTGGAATGCATGGGATCGACATTGAAATTTCGGTTTTCTCTTTTTAATTTGGCAGGCTCTTGCAAGAAAACAATATAGTGTTATTTCTCCGTGGCTTCAAGAGCTAACGAGTAAGGTTTTTTTCATGTTTGAACGCAAACTTTTATTCAGGCGAAAAAGAAAGCAGCCTGTAGCAGACGACACATAGCCTCAACAGTGCTCGGCATGCTGACAGCATTGCGTAAAAATGGCGGTCGTCTCCTTGTTGCCCCCTTCTTTCTCTCCCGCTCCTTCGGCGCTCTTCTCCCTTTCCTTCAATGTTCTCCTCTCCAGCGCCTTCGTCGCCACACCCACTGGCCAGACTCTCCCCATTTACGGCTCTGGTGGTTGGTCACAAGTGCTTTCAATCAACACACTTAAGGTCAATAAAACAATTTCCGTCAATGACGCGCTCTTATTTTCGCCCTATCTCATCAATTAATGACCACTCCCTACATATACGGCTATTTAGTGTACCACGGTTCTTCGGCTGGCGCCAGGATAGCGCTCCCATGGGATAAGACACAACTCGTGTGTCCCGGATTAGTTTGGTGAGCACTGTGCCTGAAACCACTGCCGGTTACTCACGTACCCAGAGGTGATGTCCAGGGATGCCCTCTGACATTCGGCCGTCACCACAGTGGAAGGAACGACGTCGGGCAGGTCCCGTCGTCCCCGCCGCTTCGCGTCTGCCTCGTGCTCCCACGACTCGTCGCCTTCGGCCCGCCGTTGACACTGTCTCTTCGTCTCTTCCTCGCGTACTTGGCGGTCCTGACGCCTTCGGCGCATACGCGCTGCCTCTCGCGCATGATAGTCGGGGTCCTGCGCCCTTCGCTGTTCTCGTGCCGCCGCGGCCCTCAGTCTACTCTGCTCAGCGCGGCGCGCTTGCCATGCCCGCTCCTCGGACGGAGATCGCATCTTGCGAGGTCTGGCCATCTCTGGGGAGGGAGAACTTAGCGAGCGCTGTGTAAACGTGCCGGAAAATCTTCAGGTTACATCAACCGCAACAACCCCCAGGCAACGCAAGTCGCGCAGGTGAAACTGGTCCAAGCCGTCCCAACGAGTCCAAACCGTCAGTCGAAACTATTCGGTTTTCGTTTGCACAACGGCACAACGCACAACTGGCACAACCGCCTCTACCACAGCAGCACAACAAACTTATCTGGGATGCGACCGGAAGATTGCAGAAGACAGACAGAAGCAGTAGCGCCAAAATGTAATCCGTGACCGGGAGTACCCTAACTCCCCTAACTGATAGATGCCAGTTATCACGAGTTACTCTGTTCATAACTTAGAAAAGTTAAAAGAGAGGTGCAGGTTATATTAAAAAACACTCAGCACATATTTTGTAAAAAAATATTGACGCCAACAAGCGGCCCCCGAGGCGTTGACGAAGCAGAAGCCACATGAACATAGCATGAAGACCAACATGGCGCAGCCCGTTTGCGTGGTGGAGGCTGGAGCGTGCAGCTGCGCAACTTTTGAGCGTTTTGAGCCTTGAGCAGGTTGCAACCGTGCGACTGTAACCGTACAACCGTCGTGCTCTTCTCCTGCGCGACCGCGGTAGGTACCGCTAGAAATTTGCCCTCGCAGCTTGCGTGTTCCGCTTCCCTTGTTGGAAGAATGCTATTTGTTTGTATCCCCACTCGTGCTTCCCGCGTCCCAGAGAAAGGAGAGAGAGAGAGAAGTGTTGAAAGGAAAGGAAGCCTGGAACTTATTAACCACTAGAGCGACAAACAGTGACACGCGGGACGCCTATGTTTGCACGTCGCCAGGGTGCAGTCACCTGACAACAAGGATCCACCGGATCCACCTTTCTCTCCCTGCTTGTGGTTTCTTTTATGTGTAGAATAGATAAATGGACTAGTTGGTACATCACTGAATGGAAAGCGCCGAATAAACAAGGACGAAGAAGGGGACAGAGACGAAGCGCACTCTCAACTGAAGGTGACTAATACACAGACTCCCCTTGCTCTCATGTGGAATGCCTCATGTATTTCTCGTGCTGTTTTGTTTGCGTATCTGCCCAGAACTGTTGTTTTTTCCGATTCCGGGCCACATGGGCACCTATCACAGTGCACCTCAAGATTGCCGCTCGGGACTGTTTCACTGACCAGGCATGTTCCCTAGCCCTCTCATTTATGCAACACCCCGTTTGGCCCATATGTGGGAAATCGTATGTGGGCCTAACGGGGCATTGCATAAATGAGAGGGCCAAGGAACATGCTTGGCCAGTGAAACAGTCCTGGCTGGGCAATCTTGCAGCGCACTGTGATAGCTGCCCATGTGGCCTGGAATTAGAAAAAGAAAACAGTTCTGGGAAGATACGCAAACAGAACAGCGCGAGAAATACATGAGGCATTCTGCGTAAGAGAGCAAGGGGAGAGTGTGTGTGTTAGTGCGCCGTCACTGCACTTAACAGATAACGAGTTTTTCTTTTTGTGCCAACACCCAGATAGACGGTTGTAATAGCCAATGTTTGTTTCAATAAACCTTCAATTGATAGTATGCTTTGTTTCTGTCCCCTTCTCCGTCCTTGTTTATTCGGCGCTTTCCACTCGGTCTTTTTTGTGGCCTTTCTGCTTGCCCGTTTATTTTTGTTTCTTCTCTATTTGTTTTAGAGGGGCGGGTGGAGAAAGGTTTTGCAAAATGAAACCACGTCGGAGTCTCACACACAGTGTCGGATAACGACGAAGAAGCCGTGCAAGGTTAAAACAAAATTTCTTGTGAAATAAACCGGGAGAAAAACACACCTGAATTGAAAGAATAATAAACCCTGGAAATGTGTAGGCGAATGCTTTGTACAATTTGTAGAGGAGTCAACGCCCGATATTCTCTATTGCATAATTGTAGCTTGGGCTACTGGTTTACCGCACGGTGAAGATATAACAACAAAATATGTGAAAGCCAAAAGTGAAAGCGCAAGTAGAAAAATAAATTTGAAGGTTGGATTCGTTAGCTTGCTGCATATCGCCGCACACCGAGATATAATTCTTTTGTCACACCTATTCTCCAAAGAAACAATTTTATGTGTAAAAACCATGGAAAATACCACATCTGTATTAAAAAAACATGATTGTTAGACCCGCAACCAGAAACAAAGTTTTTGACTGCTCTGCCGGAAGCTGTACGTTGGCACACACATCACATTTATTTCAGGCGCGATGTCCAATTCCAACTTTTAGCAAAAAAAAAAAAAAAAATGTGCGGAGAGAAATGTTTTGGAGTGAGGAGAACACAGTGAGAATAAAAACAGGAACTGAGAAGATAGGGGAAGAGGGGGAAGGTGGTCACATGATCCCTGTTGTCACGTGGCTGTGCCCCGACCACGTGCAAAAAAGGCGTCATGCAACTATGAGCGACAAACGACACTTGAATTTGCTGTCCCATCTGGCAGACATGACGCAAAACAAGGGGACAAGGAAACCCGTTTCCTAGTGGGACTGGAGTTGTCAACTATACGCTTCAAAACACACTGGCAAACAGAGTTGGGCAACGCGGTTTTCGTGCTCCGCTCTTTGGGCAGAAAACGTGCCGACAAATGTGGTGAAAGTAGAGACGATTAATTTATTTCTTGATTAAAGCTCCTCTTTGGTCTTAATTTGCCATTGGCGACTTTCTGCGGACCGTCGTGACTATGGACACCCAACTTTTTC